AGATAAAATTACAATATAATAAATCTATCCTAAATCCAATTGATTTTATGGAAAAATATTGTTGAAATCTTATACGTTATCTAAACTTCATTGTTTATTCTTTCGAAGGAGACAATCGAGAGTTCTCTAATATTTCTAAGAATTTCTCTTTACAAAAGAGATAAGATCTTCATCAATCGACATCAAGATAGTTCTATACTGCTGACACATTTTCATTTTCGAATATCTCAAAACTTTCAACGCATCCATTATTTAATCGTCAACGTCTGTAATGGTGTTTAACTAACATCTATTATATTGCCTTGATTAGAGCATGTACGATCTGTGAAAAGTTCAAATATTTCCTCCTATACTTCAACACTCGTTTTAGATAATGTTCTATCAAAGAGAAAAAGAATATTTTCTAATAAAATAAAAACAAACCATGCCACATAATTGGATTAAGTTTATAGAAAATTGGTGAACCATCTTTTCATTCTAAATATTTGGCAAGAAAAATTTTCACAACAGTTAAATGACAATCATCTTCTTCTTCATAACATCGAATTCTACATGTTTTATCTTTCATCATTCGACAACGCGAAATTTTATATTGAAATTTTATTAAAAAAAAAAACATAATTGTTTTTTTCTTAAATATTTTTCTTATGAATAAATTGTTCAACAACTCCTTGACCTATTCGTCCACCATTTAAATACCTGACTCTTCCCTAAAAATTTAAAAATATTGATAAATATTCTTTGTTTTTGTTTTTTTCCTTATCGAATTCACTTACAGTAGCATCAATAAAATCAATATTTTCAATAACATTTTTAAATATTCCACTAATCGATTGATTACTTAATAAATGTGATTGATAAAGATATGCTAAACTCCATATTGTATCATATACATAACCATGAAAATAATCTTTTTCTAATTTAGAAAATTGTTTTAGATATTCCGTAATATATTCTGATTGATTCTAAAAAATAATTCAAAAACAAAAACAAAAAATTCTTTTGTTTTTCTCAATAGATTTTTTAAAAAATAGTTCATTATCATCAATAGATAAAGGTGGTAGACGTGTTTGTAATGTACCATTAATTACACGAATTATTTCTTGGATTGAACAATCAGTTGGTTCATTCCACCAAGTTGATAATGATGGATAACCAAGAATAATCCATTGATAACGAGAACCATAACACTTGTTCACGAGCTGACTATCCTTTGAAAATAAATAAGAAAATTTTTTTTTTCTTCAATTTTATCATATATATCTGACAAAACATATCAGTAGCAATTGTTTTATTAAAATTTCCATTAATTATTCGTACATCTCAACCCTTCAAAAAAAAGAACGATAAAAAGAAATTTTTGTTGAAGAATTTAATGAAGAATATATTAGTTTAAAATCTTTTTAAAACGACATTTAATTATAGAGCAATATATATTTTATTCTAACAACATGACAATCATGCGTCAGTAACAGGAAAAACGTTGTTATTCTAAACGGAGTACTAGTTGACATACTTTTCGAGTTGAATATTATTTCGAAAACTAATCATAATCTCTACAGATTATCTTATGACAATAAAAAAATAAAATAACATTACTATTGAGAGTTAGCTGTTAGAAAGTCTATTAGTTTTTTTCTGTATGTAAAAGCTGGAAAATCTATTAGGTTTACAGCGAAGATCGTTGAAAAAAAAGGAGAAAATTATGTAAAGGTCATGTTGAATACTTTCATAGATCATCCATTCATATATGAAGGTTTTTTTTTGGTAAACATAAGTCATCTATTGGATTGGGTTTGGTAGAAGAACATTTTTTAAAAATCCAATATTTGTTTATTTAGATTATTTTTCAATAAATACGACAAAATATTTCTATTTAATCAACGTTGTAAATCAAAAAAAACTGTTTGATATAAAAGTTGAGATCAAAATAATATTATGTTAGGGTGAAACAGTAGAATATTCACGAAAAAAACATATGTCTAAGAAAATAATTC